GTGCATTGAATTTATTTAATACACGAGTTTCACAATTTGAGTTGAATTACTGAAATAAATTAACTTTTCCACGACATTCTAATTTATTGAGATGCACCTGTATTCCTAGAACTAGGAAAACAGATAACAGAAATCATTTGAATAAAGGTAACTAAAAAGTACGTACTAGTGCTAGTAAGTACTAAAATTGGTACTGAAAGAGAATAGTTGATATTTGAGCTAGAACTCAATGGCACAAGTGTACAATTAATCGTCGTCATCTTCTTCCGCTCAAGTCTATAGCAGCCCAAAGTTGCTTTCATGTTTATGCTAATAACATTTAAATCATAAGGGCTAGAAACAAAATTCAATAAAACTTGATTCCTTGGCTCAAAACGAACTCCTCATTTTCACAAAAATCAACCTAAATCTTCAGACCATGGCGACAAAAAGTTATGGAATTCAACATCATTCATCAATTTGACAAAAAGCCCAATAAAATGGACATTAGGCAATATCTCCACAATGCTTTAAGCCCGGTATTTTAGATTTTTGGCTGTCCCAGACGAAAGATTGCCATCGTGAAGCAATCATGGCGATTTCTGTGATCGTGGCTCTTAATCGCTGGTCCTATGTCGTACAGTGAGAGAGGTTCAAAGATGGGTGTTTTCCCGGTCTTGCGACCAAAGGTAGCCTACAATAGTTTTCTGGCAGTGTCAGAAATTCAGCATGTTCATCGCACAGTGTGTTTGCAGTTACGACCACGCTTACTGACCAACCAGTAAAAAATGCGACATGAAATCAACGCGACATGGCGCTAAAACATAAAACTGCTTACCTCAAGCTCTTATTCCTTCCTCTTTCGCCGCTCCCACTTTTTTTCAGCACACATAAAAACTACAACTGTCAAAGTGTGATTCATTATGCTCTTTTTGTTTACCACTAGCGCATGCTAATGACGTTTTATTCTTCTATAGAAACGTGCGTCGTAGCCTACATCAATAGGTGTCATCATCGTACAGTCTACATGCATGTCGTACCCAAGTTTATTAGATCCATGTCGCACAGTGTGACCAGCAATGATCTTATAGGATTGCTAAAATCGTGCAGTGTGTAGAAGGCTTTAGTTGAGCATATTCAGACCAATCTTGGTGTGTGTTATAACGACCATGACCTGAGAGTACCTGCACAGTTTGGACACAGTGCCACCTAATGAAAAATGGCCATTTTTGCTTATATCTTCTGAACATTTGGCCAAAAAAATAATAAAATCACAAGACTGGTCAAATGATTTCCCCAAACTTCCCATCTCAGCCATTTTGTGCATCGATCATAATGAATTTTGTTTTTTAATTTTTAGAATTCATGAACGCATTGGAATATCGTTACAAAATTTGGTACGTCTCTTCAGCACCATGCCCTGAAGGTACTCAAAAAGTTTCGGAGTAGCACTACCTCGTGGTCAGAAATTATAACTTAAAAAAAATTCTACTAGCTTTTGATGAATTTGGCCTATTGTCATGAGACTGGTCTTTGTAGGTTCCTTGGGTCATGCCGAGAACATCGATACCAATTATGCCACAGTCGACCATTTAGATTTTATTTGAACACCTACTTTTTTGAACTCATCCTAGACCGCTGGTCCGATTTTCATGAAAATCAAATCAGAGCATATTCAGACTATGCCGGCACAAATTTACGGATTTCAGGTTGATATACAAATAACAAATTCGATGGCGTGTTGCCAAAATGATTCTGAAGCTGTATCTCTGCAAGGCTTAGGCATATTGACACCAAACTTTGTGTGCGCCAAAATTGTCACTCCACACTGAATACACCACATCAATTAGGCCACATCGCCACCTATTGGTCAAAAGTCAATAGCAATTAAATCAATTCTATTTTTCAACCTATAAATGACTTTGATTACTTGTGTTCTTTTGCCTTTGTTGTGCTTGGCCACTTGATTACTTTTGTTTTCGTTTCCATTGACTGCGCACTTCGCTTCCTGGAACTGCATATCTGTAACTGCACTTCTCTATCTGTGGGACTTTTGCAGCATTTGTCCTTTGTAAGTATTAAAGAAGTGTGTGTGTTCTTTTACAGAGAACTAGAAGATGTGCTTGTAACCCTTGGTGTTTTGAGAATCACATGGAATGCCTTTTGAACTCAGAGGTTTGGAATTCTATCTTAATTCTGAGGTATATCTAAGAAATTAGACTGCTTATTTCCTTTGCTGATTGCTGTGTAAATCTGGCATAACCACAGTTACTAAGTTGCTAAAATTGGTTCTAGGGTGAATTCAGCTTGGGCCAGTTTCTACCATGAAGATAGCCCAGTTGTCGTGAATTAACCCCTAATAAAATCCACTGAAAAAAACTGGCATAGGATTTACTTTGAAACAAGTTTCATTCAGAAACTAGTAGTAAATTTCACAAATTATTACAAAGAAACCACACGTAACATTGAATTAAATGTAAAGTAGAAAGACTGAAATAGTATTTTCTTGTAAAACATACTCCAATAAAGTTTTAGTTACAATTTGATTTAAATTCTTACCATGTCAATTGAAGAGAAATTGTATAGGTGAGTTCAGAGTTGTTTTGTTACACCTTTTTGAATATTGAAAACTTCTCAGGGTTTATTTGAATGCCAATTTGTGTATCAAACACATACATTAAAGTCTCAACTACAAAAAAAGCTGTTTGACATTTACTAAACTGAAAAAAAGTTTTAATCAGTTTTAACTCGGAAATTGCAAAAACTAAAACAGTATTTCCTTTTAAAACACACTTTAAATATCTTTGTTAATATGTTGTCAAAAGCTTATTATTGTAGAGGGAAAAAAATGAATACCATTTGTGACAATGTGCCCCAATAGCAGGCCATGTTGACAAACTATATGGGGTAAGTTGTCATAATGGGAATCTGTCGATAAATAGGTCTGTTATTAGCTGTATGAAACATAAAACAGTTCTTGAAACTGCAAAAATAGAAGGCAAAAACAACAAACTCTTGTTTTGGCCACGAGTTGTCCGGAGTCATTTATATAAAATTACAACATATAACGTGACGACTTACCCCAACCAAACTGCAGTGTTGTGAGAACACTATTCTAGCTACTTGTTAATATCTACCTTTATTATATAGTCAACTTTATTTACTCTAGCAGTCTTACATTTGTCTAATTTGACTTTTGAACCTTTATAGTTCATGAGTTTATAATCGTTGAGATACGGCCCTTGTGACAGCGTCACCATGTGACATCTAGCCCCCCCCACTAGATGAACTGACACATCTGAGATTTCTAAAGTCCAATTTAAATGGCCTTTTATCTGCTGCTGCCCCATTATAGTGTGCATTTGCTAAGTATGCATGTCTCCGGCTGGTAATATGAACCTGCTTTGAGATCAATCTCTGCCTTGCTCTGCATAGAGCAAACAACACTATTATCTGTTCAGAACAAAGTTGTTTAGCCTTTTTAGTTCGCTTACAACAAAAAGGGTGGAGAATGACCTTAAACGTGATCAGATTGAATTGAAACCTAAATCTGAAACCACAATGACGTTAAGATCTTTGGTCACAAGATGGTGGTAAAAATAACAAGGTTTGCAGGAAAACAGTTGTGTATACAGTATATACCACTTGCTCTATTTGATTTGTTGATATCTTTATTTAGTTCATCTGTATTTCCATTGCAACTGAAAACAGCATCTTGCAGTTACATTGGCCCTGTTCCAAATCCCAAGTGTGAAGGCTGTTCCAAAAGATTGTACTTTATGCTTAGATACCTTCTTTTGGCCAAATTGCATGTGGAGAAGGTACTTCATGAAGAAGCTAATGCTATAGTACATAATGCACTGAGCTTGGTTCTGGACCAAAAAACTGATCCCAAATGTGAGAAATGTTGATTATAAATAGTTAAAATTCATTCAGTACCACAAGAGTGTCAATAAAAACATTTCAGTGACTGCATGACTGTGTTGGCGTTTCAGTATAAACACATGTTTTTGACACGTTCAGAAGAGCTGCATGGAGAACAGATCAAAACACAGGTCATGAATAAATAGTTAATGAACTGTGCCTGTGAGAATACAATAAGAGGTTTTTTGGAAGCAACACAAAGGGTGCTGGTTTGGGGGTTACTACCTGGACAACATTAGAACCACATCAGATGAATCCACAGGCACTGTGGCATTGCAAATGGATTTGTAATGGATTTGTAATGGAGATGGAGCAATTAAAAATGGATTGTGCAGGATTATAAAATCATTTGACTTTAACTTATGTCATATTATGGTTGTTTTTGTTCAGCTGTCTAAGTGCTCTATTGCCCGTGGCTGAAGGTCATGCAATGCAGGCACTGAAAGACCTCCAGAACGCACTCCGAGACAAAGAGACAAAGCTTTTATTCCAAGTAAGTATGACATCTGAGCTTTTGATGCATTGTGCAAGTCAAGGAGTAGCCGTACTGTAAATCTCAATCTTATTTTTCTGTTGTCACAAAACCCACTTGGCCTAAATAGTAAATCAGAATCCTAATTTGTAAACTTTTTTTTTGTTTTTCCAGCGTTCTAATGCAAGTTTGTATACACCAAATACAGATGATATCGAGGTAAGTTCACTTAAAAAACCTCCATTTTACACAGATTATTATTAGCATGGCAATAAACATTATAATCCAGTGCTGACTGTACTCTGTTTGTCTGCAGAATTGCACATTTAAGTTTTTTGACTGTTTCCTGATGGAGATGAACGTTCTCTTGCATGAAGAAGACCCAGCAAATAGATACAAGTGGCTGATAAATACAACTTTAGAAGAATATAACAAAAATGTAAGTCAAAGCAATACCACAATGTGTGTGTGTGTGTGTGTGTGTGTGTGTGTGTGTGTGTCAAGATTGTGCATCATTCAGAATTGACATTCCTGAACTGGAATCGTTTTTAAAAATGCATGAAATTATATTATGAATCAACATTTGAAATGTTATGACAATGACACCATAGAAATGTATATTTCTAAATGAATAAATATATAAATAACATTTATATATATATATATATATATATATATATATATATACACACATGTATACACACACACGCACATATACGTACATATATCTATAAATTTCATATTGTTTATATATTTTAATATAGACTTAAATTTGCAAACAATATGGTGGACACTAGACATTTTGTGGTGCTGTATGGCAAAATTAAAATTGGTTTTATTGGCTGATTATTGTTTGAAAATATTGAACTTGGTATAGAAAAATGCCTAATAATTTGATAAGCGCATATTAGAGTGGTGTAATATTAAAGAGTGGAGAATATTAAATATGCATAATTAAGAATAAATGAATTTATTGTTAATTACGTAACACACACTAATAATGACTTTTTCTTGTGACTTGGGAATTTTTCAATGAATCATCCTGTCATTCCAATTCAGTTTCACAGCCATGAATTGGAACGAAGCTGATTTTCTTTTTCAATTCCGAATGATGTGCATCCCTGACGGTTCTGTTTGTTGTTTGTAACAGCTGGTAATGAGTTTGTGTTTGGACTGCTTCCACAGAAGTGTTCCGAACGATATCCTTGTGAACTACTAGAACTCACCAACCCCAGGGAGTTCTTTGACAGGATGACGAACTTTCTTGAGAAACAGTATGCTCTTTGCAGTCAACCATCTACTATAACATGTGATTAAAATCATACTTTATTTCCCTTAAAGCATGTACAATAAGCTCATTTATCTATTATCATTTTAAATTATACTAGACTTTTTTTTTGTTATTAATATTTATATCACATCAGTCTGAAAGTGTCACTATATTAAAGCTGTAAGAATGTTTTGTGAATGATTGTTTAACTGTGAATGCCTTGTAAGTGTACAGAATTTTAAGGTGAAAATTTTTTTTTCATTTAAAATAGGTTTTATATATTGTTTTATATCCAATGCATTGTTACATTAAAACATTTTTTATCAACAGAAATAATGTCATTTGTTATGTTGAGGTGAACTGGATCACAGAGTAGAAGTTTCTTATCTCAATATTTATGCGTGTTGTTCAAAGGCTGATTTTATGACCCGGTCTGAAGGAAACCTGACATATGATATAATTTTGTAACTTTGAGGAAGAAATAGCTTCCATTGTTTCAATTTGCCTGGGGAGGAATTTCCTGTGTAAATCCTTTGTGTTCCTGACCTTCTCCACCACTGCCCCATGAGAGATGCATGACATTTATGAACTACGTTCACATCTCAAATCCCTAACAGACCCTTAGTGTGTTTTTGGCAGGAATGGAAACGAGGCTGTGAGGAATAGAAGTACAGTGTGCTCAATGGATTATAATGCTGTTTAACAACACAATTGTTCAGTTGACAAAACATCTTTCCGGAAAAAAAAAAGTTAAAGAAAGTTGAACGTTTTGACAATTACGCGATCTAGGACTTTAATAGTGCCTGCCACTGTGAAGAAAGTCTATTCCTCACAACTCAAGACCTTTTCTCTGAACTCTGACTTTGCATCTCGCAATTCTATTTATTTTTTTTTGTTTCCGCCTCAGCCATGAAAGGTATTGCAACTTTTTTTTCCTCACAATTGTGAGTTTACATCTCACATCGGACTTTTCTTCTCGTAATTGAGTTTACATCATGCAAATCTGACTTTTTTCCTTTGAATTTACATCTTAAATTATTATTTTTGTTTCCACCACGCAATAAAAAATAAAAAGGTAATTGCGACTTTTTATCTCACAGTTATGACTTTTTTTCCACGCAATTGCGAGGTTATATATCAAAATTCTGCATTCTCAATAGCAAGTTGATACCTCACAATTGTGAGTTTACATTTTGCAATTCTTCGATGTAAATCCGAGTTTACATTTTGCTAAAAAATAAAGATAATTTGCTACTTTTTTCTTGCAGTTGCGAGTTTATATCTCACAATTCAGACATTTCTTCTTAGAATTGCAAGTTTATATCTGAAAAAAAAATTGCAATATTTTTTGTCAGAATTGTGAGTATATATCTCGCATTTCTGCATTTATATCTCAGCATGGCGAGGGGAAAAGTCCAAATTGTGAGAATAAAAAAGTCTGAATTGCAAGATAAGTCAATTTTTTATATTTTTTTATCCCATGGTGGGAAAAAAAGCTTCTATCCTCACTGCCTCAATTTCATGCGGGTTACATTCAATTTGGCATACATTTAATTTGACAAAAGTCTAAACTGTAATATAAATGAATGTTGAAAATAATGACTTGATGATTTCTGAATGTGTCATTTAGCTGCTTACCTGATGATGATGTTGAGGTGGTTTGATGCTGCAGGTTGTTGACTTTCTCTGACCTTCGTGACATTTTCTGAAGGATCTGCAGCACCTCTGTACCCTCATCATCATGAGATTTGAAACACCATCCTAAGTCAGCAATGTGAGGAAAGCTGAGGACTGTTAGTCAGGAAGTTAAAAAACTGCGGAGCTTATGAATGAACAGACTCTAAAATAATGCTTGGTTAAAAACAGCCATTTCTGGGTTATTTGGCAACCCAGCGCTGGGTAAATATTGAACAGAACACATGCAGGGTTATTTTGACCCAGCTTGTTGGGTTTTCTACATTTACCCATTTGCTGTTTTTTTTTTTTTGCTGGGTCAGTCAACCTATTGAAGGTTTTTCATTTTAATTAATAAAAATGCACTCTAAAATCTGTTTTATATAGGACAAGAACAGTTCATATACAATCATTTTTTTTCATTTAATGTCATGTCAGTCTTTTACAACCATAAAATCGTCAAAACCATTCAGTAAAGGTTTTAGGACCTGACAGCAGCAGCAAGAGCAGCCGATGGGAATCTGTGGGAAGAAATCTGCGATCAGTAGGCTGTTCCAGTTTATTCATGAATTCATGTTTGAAAGGTTACATCAGAAACAGCTTTACCTCGTGCCATCTTGTCTGTCCGACATTTACAGTAAGTTTCAACCCATCAAACGCATAGCGTGATCACAGTTGCAACAATGTATACTGGATCAATTCTTAAGGTGCGTCCCAAAATGCGTAAGTGTACATTATTCTCTGACATTTTGTAGTATAAATAGTGCAAGTGGTGCGTTCACCACCGGATGATGCACTTAACCGAAACAACGAACCCTGCGTTCCATTCGGAAGGGCTCATCCCTATGCCCTAATCCCTTCAAAGGGTTTACCCTACGGAGTGAGAGCTACGAAGGTATGAAGGGTGTAGGGGTCAAAAAAGTATTTTTTTGGAACGCACCTCTGCGTCACCTTAATGAGACGATCAAGGAGGCACCTTAGTCGCACATTTTGTACGCTGGTTGACCCCCAATTGTCTTTTACGTAAAATAAGATCTATATTTGTGTATGTAATGTAATATGTATTTGTAATGTATATTGTGTCTATGTATTTGAAACATTTGAATGGACTGATAAAGGTAGCTGTAAAGTATTTTTGTTGAAGTAAAATGTTGTTTTGACCATAATAATGTACCAAATCTAACTCGTATAAATATTACAGTAATATAGAAAAATACTATGCATACATTTAAAGGTGAAGTTGAACTCTGTGACGCCAGACAACTTCCCTGTGCAAAGGATCATGGGGGCCTGAAGTGTCCATCAGTTGTACCCTTCGAAATCCTTCATTCCGAAGGGCCCTTTGAAGTGGCCAGTTTTGGGCACTTCGGTTTGGAACAACCATTCAATAAGGCGGCCTTGATTGTTTTCAGTAGTATGCCCTTGGAACACAGCGGAAGTGTGGAATGTTGGAGACTGTCGCACGTTCAATTACATAGCGAAGGGGGAGGGGCTATCAGACTCCGATTATGAATGACAACCTTATATAATGCACTCTACATGGTTGAGTACATAGTGCATAAGTACACAGTATATAAGTGCATAGTGCATCATATGGGACACAGCTATAGTTTTCACTATTTTGTTAGCAATGCCTAACTTCCAACGATCCAATCAATTCCCGAAGGATGAAATCAAGCCCCGCCCTACAATTTTTTCCTCATTTCAGAAGCCGTTTCACTTGGATATACGTCACAATAGGGGAAAAAAGGACAATCTCAACTTCCGTTTCATGCGGACTTTAATTTCATACAGGAAGTTTCCTCTCAGAGCAGAACACAAAGGGGGTTAAGGCTAAAAGGCATACAGAAAAAACTACTGGGCATGCGCACATCAATATAGCGTAATTTTTCTCACACTGTACAACAATAATTACTATTTTTGCATTATTGTAAGGGGTAGGTTTAGGGTTGGGGTAGGTGTAGATGTTAATAAAACAATCTAATAGGTAGAAAATTTAATTTATTGTTAGCTTCCGGTTTTTGCTGTACCCCTTCTAGCCACAACCCACAAAGGGCGAATTCCAAACGGAAGTCAGCATCCCTATGCCCTACTCCCTTCGAACAGCAGAGCCCTTGAAGTGTGTTCTTTGAAGGGAACTCACTTGGCGAAGGGAATGACTGACCAAATATTTACCCAACCATGACGATGCTTGCATGAGTGCAGCATTCAGCACTCCATCAGTTGTTGCAAATAAATATTTCTTATTATTTTATTCAAATATTATCGAATTGTGTCTTATTTAGCCTACTATTAAACTTTTTCAAACTTAACTTGTTTACACTACCGTCTTAAATCGTATTTTTTTTATAACTGACGAAAAATATTTTGTATCACATTAAAATAAAGACCAATTTAATTAGCTTATTCTACTTACGTTTGTATGTGAAATCGAAATCAACCCCAACTTTGCTTTAAAATGCATTGCAAGACCTAACCAAAGATCACATGAAATCACTTCCGTGAAGTGACCATGTTCCCTTCGCTAACGGACTTCTGGAAGGGCCATTCATTCATACCTGCACTTGCGGTCTTTGCACTTGACTACTTATATGACCTATTTCCTGTGTTTGGTCCAGTTGTTCAAGTGAGCATGAAGACCACAAGTGTGTGTAGAACTTTTCATGATGGGACACACTTATAGTGTTGTAAAAATGCAGTTGTTTACAGAGCTATATTTTTATTTTCAAAACTTTGCATTTTAAAATCAACTTCTAAATGTCTGTTCAGTAGTCCCTATAACAGATGACACAATTTAATTTTGTGGTGCTTCTAATTAAGTGATAAAAACCAGTTGCAAATGTTGTACAAAATAAATATCACCACTACTCATCTTTGCACCAATACAAAAAATATCTATTATTTATATTTAACATACATTGGAAAGGTTTCCGTGACCTCTCACGAGATCTCGGCAAAAAGTCTCAAGATTTAATTTCACAACATGATGCATGATGGGATACACTAAGCCTCGAAATTTCACCCAAATGACCGCTGACAAATGTAACCAGTTTGAACCGTTTTGGCAAAGTGCACTGACCCAGCGCTGTGGTGTGTGAGGGGGTTCATCATTTGTATTGACAGTAAAAATGACCCAACACCTGGGTAAGAAAATGTTAAAAATAACCAAGGACTACAGCCAATAAAATGACCCAGCAGGCTAAACCCATTTATGTGTTTGATTAAGGCAAATAATTGAGTATTTGACTAACGTCAAAGACTATAGAAAACCCAAGACATGTCACTCGCATAGTTTTGAATGGGGAAAAATGCAACGCTCAATATGGCTGCTCAATTCGCAGGAAGTCCCGCCTTCTGAATGAAAGAGCCAATCGCTAATAGGTAAAGTCAGCGCATCACTGCAGCTGCCGTTAGAAGTCCCGGTTGCTATAGAAACAGTCAGCGCTCTGAGACGTGCGCTTAGGACTGCGCATGCGCACTGGCTGATCTAGCCTGAAAAATAAGCTTTTTATAACAGAATCTGA